TGAGATAGTAGAACTTTGCCAAAAGTATATATTATCTTGACTGTAATTAACAGTGCTAATTTCTGTTCCACTTAATATTGCTTGTAACTGTCAGAGACAAATTATACAAAGCTGTATTCAAACACATTTAACAAGCCAGATAAAATCTCGGCCTTTTGAATTTGCAGAGTAGTGAACATGTACACGGTGAATGCTCAGGATTTCTGTATTGTGCTGGTTTTGTTTTACAGGATCAAAAGTTTTCTAATTTCAAAAGCAAGTTAATTTTTTTTTTTGACTAAGGAAGTCTCATTTTTATTTGAAATGTGGTTTTGAACATAAATTAGCTCTTTTGAAATGTGGGGATTGTGTCATGATGTTCCTAGATTTTTACATGCTGGATTCTGATAAAAATAGCAGGCATATTATATTTCTTTTTTTGATGGAAAGATTTTTCTTACTTATCTGAGAATTAGGAAGAACCCCTTTGGGGGTTATAACATACCTGTGAGGCCAGGAGTAAATCAGGTGTATAACAGCTCTTTGTGATACTCCAAACTGCTATGACAGAAGCTGCTCTGGATATTTTGCTGTCCTAAGACTTAGTGATAGGCTTTTGAAAATGTTTCTTCATATGTTACTTGTTTCAAGTTTATGGACTACAAAAAGAAAAAATGGGTGACAGCAACACTGTATTCTTTTTGTGCACATCTCTTACCTATTTGTAGGTTCACTCTTTGAAGGACAAACCAACACCAGTGCTTGTGGGTAAAACTTGCATATTGGGATTTCTACTTGTGCTTGGGTAGAAGGAAAAGTTACCCTGTTGCTGGTACAGCAACTTGCAGTGAAACAAACTGTGAAAGTAACTTTGGCTGCCCAAAGGCAGTTACTTTGCAAATTTATGAGACCTACGTATATATATTGATTCTATTAGATGTGTGTAGAATTCAGCTACACCCATGAAATGCGTGATACACACTGATGGTTGCCTTGCTGAGAGTATGGGAAGGTTCTTGCTCATGACTTGTTAAACTCTTGTCTGTCTCTCTGAGAGCCTAGGCTGTGGCTTTTGTGTGTTTCCTATACTCAGTGGGTTCTACGAGGCACATACGGATAAGGGAGGAGTATTCTTCGTTATTTTTATTTATGATGAAACAAAATTTATCTTGTTTCTTTAAAATAGTACTTCTTCAGGTGCATCCATTCCCCCCTGACAAAATACACACAAAAATACCTTTCGGCCAAATCTGCTGTTTGTGGAGCTGATCACAAATGGAAGGGCTTTTATTGTACTACTTTTTTCCCCCCTTCCATTTACTATCAAAACTAACCTTTCACATACTAGATACGAGCAGCATTTTGAGCAAGACTGACAGATTTTCATTTCCTTGGGGCTTCTGAAAGCCAGGGGCCAATTAAAAGCTTTATCTATAGATAAATGAATGAGACAATGGATACAAACCAACCCGAGTCTTCTGGCTAAGCATGCAGACATCACAGATCCTTTGGGGGAGGTGGGTGTTTCTTTTTTTTCCAAAATCCTCAGTCATTCCCTAGTCTGAAGAAGGGGATTCTGAAGTAATTTTTAAAATTACTTTATTTAATCACAGAGTTGGAGAGAGGTTTCATAGAGCTGTTAACAGATATTCCTGTAAGGAAATTAATAGTGATTTGTTCCTTAATACTGTAAATCACAACAGGTTGAATAGCTGTTTATCATCCTCCTCTGTCACTGATACTGCACTTATTAGGCACTGCACCAAAGTAAGGTAAAACTTCAGTTTCTATCTGGACTCCTTTATGTTCTGTAAGGCAAGATGTCAGCATTGTAGGGCTGGTTCTTTTTGGGTGGCATAATTGGTACTGAAGGTTTTAATATTCTGTTTCCAGCTTAAGGAGGTCTTTTTGTTATCTGGATCTTTGCATTTCCTTTCTTCTCCAGCCCCGTCAGGTTCCTCCCTTCCTCAGAGATTATATACCAAGAATAAGAAGTAAAAGGGAAAACTGGGTATTCATCAGAGAGTGGAAACAGTAGCACTCTTTTATGTTCATCAAAAAAGGATCTTTTGTGAAGCCAAGTCACTGACCTTTTCTCCTTGTCCATCATGGGACTCTTCAGGAAGAGCTGTGCTCAGCTTCATGGTGAACCTGCCTAGTGTGAAAAAGTTTGCAGACGTGCTATGAGCTCACACAGGGCTCAAGTGAGCCCTGAGAATGTTGGTCTTCAGTTCTTTCTGATTTATCCACCTTTAACGTGTCTAGGTCTTATACTGCGCTGTGAGCTTTTTTAAGATTTTCTCTCTCCTACTGAAGCCTGTACAGAGTATTCCACAGCTGTGAGGTTCACAGAGGACTAAACAAGATGCTTCTTGGTCCACTTATAACCATGAGTAACAGTTATAACCATGGTAACATGTGAAAGTTAGGTTCGGTCTAGGGCTGTGCTCATTGTGGAGGTCAGAGCGGAGGGCTGAGCTTAAACCAAGCTCTTTGTCTAACTCTTCCAGGGCAAGCATAACCAAAATCCCCTTCTGCTACAGCTGTTAGAGTCAACTCAGAGGTGCCAAGGCAAGTCAAGGGGAGGGGAGACTGGGGAGGAAAGAGGGGTAAGAAGGTGGTATAGGAGCCCTGCCATCTTAACCACTGTTGCCCTCATAGGATCCATTAGGTTTCCAAACAGCTACTCACAAGCATTTTATCTGAGATGGCAGTAGGGCTTTCTGAGCTTTATGTGGCTCAGAAGAGGCATGTGTTCTGTAATGTATTGGTCTTTGAGGCTTAATGCATATATTATATTATTTGTCAATTTGTGGTATCCTGTCGGGCTTTGTGGTTATAGGTTCCTCTAGAGAGACCTATTTTATTTAACAATCATCATTTTAATTGCACATAGACCTTTGTATCTGCAGCTCCTACAGCAGGCATCTTTATGAAGAAGCCTTAAAATGTCATAATATTTGAAAGAGAAAGATGTGCATTTTTTCCTGGGACCTGTAATTTAGGCAGCAAAATAATTGGGTAGGAAGCATCTCTTATCTCTTGTTGAATCTGATATGAAAGACAGTTACAGCTTTTCAAACCTGGCTAAAACTATGAATTATCCTAGAATACTTGTATGGATCTAATTTAGGCAGCTGTCAGACAGAAATATTTTAGATTCTTTATATTATCTTGCAAAAGAGGAGCTGTGGTTTTTCCAAAGACCTTTTTTATTGCATGAAATCCAAGGACCTTACATAGCATGGAAACTACTGTGGAGATTAATTGCCTTGAACTAATTAACTGCTTCCAGAACAATTATTTCTGAGACAGAGAAGGAGAAGTTTGGATGGACTTTAATCATTCTCTCAGCATCCTTGTGAGAGGCATATCAGAAACTCTAGGAGGTCTGGTACTTCAAATGTCAGTATATTGCTCAGGTTACTGTAAGAATAATTCTTTGCCATTTCAGGAGAATTGGGGTATGGGTGTGCAAATTTCATCTTCTTTTCCATTAAAGGACATATGCAAAAATATAGGAAAAGCCTTTAATAATCGTATTACATCACATTAACCAACAAAGGCTGTAAGGACCTTCTATAAGACAAATTGGGCTATAATTCTGTGTAGCATTTGTCCTGTCTTTTATTACGGTACAAATCCTTCCTGCCTAGCCTGATTCTCAGACTGGGGCCTTGACATTCTGCCTAGTGTTCATTTTATTGCTCTGACACTCGCTTATTGTATTTTGTATGAGTTTGTCATTATCGTTTGCCTGAGCCGAGCTGCTCCACCTGATGGTGAAAACAAGAACATGCCGTTCGTCCTGCAGTGAGGATTTATTTGAAAAACTGTAATCTAGGGAAAGCATTTAATGCTGTAAATGTGTATGTCTGCCTTAATCCAAGAGATTTACTAACGATGTTCTGTCCCCTTTAAACTCGAATTTAGAGCAGTTAAGGTTATGTAAACTAGTGCACAAAGATCCTGAATTCACAGTTTTCTTTCAAGTTTCTAATGAGATGCCCTTTAGGTGGTTACTTATAGTGTAAACAAGTGCTTCTGAAGGGCCAGATGCTGCCAGAACCTGAGATGCAGCTTGTGATTTGCAAGACATGCATCTCTGAAAGGTGTTCCTGAGTATGAACAAAAAGGGAATTGCCATTACTTGGTAACTGTTGATTTGGTCATGTTCTTATTACGCAATGTGGAAATACTTCATGGTGAGTATGTTGGGTGGAAGACCTTGCCCATATGGTATAGTCTATCTCAGATACATTTAATTGCACAGAAAAGGTGATAAAAATGAAGTAACTCTGAAAGTAACAACCTGCTTACAATATAAGATTTAAAAGGCTCTCTTGTGTTATTGAAAAAGAAATAATCACATAAATCCCATGCAAGCAACAAAGAAACATAAAGCATAACAGAGCTTCTTCTTCCCAAGTCTTTTGGTTTACACAACTTTTTGCAATGCAAGAGTCTGTGGATGCTACAGTAAATTTGTCTCTGGCATATTTCATGTTGCCCTAGGATGTGAGAGTATTTTCCATGTGATAGCAAGATCTATCATCTCTGAATGGTCATGTCTTCAGCCAGGAAAGCAAGAGGTATGATTTGCTATTTTGAGCTGATGTGGCAGGGATGAAGGATGGTTCCTGTATAGAAGGATGCTTATGGGTAACAGCACATGTGAGGAGCCTTCCTTGAAATATTTGAGTAGTCTGAGGTCAAAATTTCCTGTGCTATTGAGAAGGTAATGTGAGATCTGACCATCTAAGCACAGACTGATTACATTCAGTCTGCACTCCTGCAAAAGTAAGGTCACGGGATACCAAAAACAACCAGGCAAGTTGCTCTAACATATTGTGAAGCTCTGAGGAATCTCCTTGTTTTACTCAGTTTTCAAAGCCTCTAGCAAAAATTGAAAATCTTAAGCTGTTCCTGTAGTTTTGTCTTTCACTTGTAATTAAAATATACACTTAATATTGCACAAAATGGTGTGTACAAACCTTTGCTTTGTTTTTTCTTTCTCTCAGACACCCTGGCTCTGGAATACCAGACAGTGCTGGAACGGGTATCCATATCAGGTAAAAGCTACAGTGCTGCCTAAAAACAAACATGACACTTCTGCAGAGCTCTGTTTTTATTATGTCAATATGTTAGTGAGAGTGGGCTACTTGGCATTTCTAGATCATTGCTAGATACGTCACATCTTGCTTGAGTTCAAGATGGGAAAGAGGAATATAGTTGTCACACCTGAATTCCACACACTGAATTCCAAAATGTCCAGAGAAAAATTGGCAATTTAAGGAGTTTAACCTGTCTAGAGGTTGTTTTTGGCTTTTTATTTTGGTTTTTTGTTTCCCTGAAGGTCAGGGAGCGGGGGGAGGATGTAATTTTCAGATTGGAAAGTATGAGAAAGAGTATTGTCTGAAAGACATGTGAATTCCCTGTGAGAGTAAACAGCCCTTGACAGGCTGAATAGGAGAACTGTGTTTTGATGCTACTGTTCTTGAAGGTTGTGTACCTGTTGGAAATAGTTCAGTGAAGATAGCTTAGCAAGAATGACCAGAAATCTTGATCTGAGAAAGGTTGAAGGAATTTGGTCATGTAGCCTCAGAAGAAGTAATGACTTAATTCCACCCAGAGACTGGAGGGTGAACTTAACAATATTAGGGAAGCAGCAGCAGCAGAAATTGAATGGAGGAAGTGTTGAATCTTCATCCCTCAGAAATTTTAGGTACAATTGTGTTTTAGATTGATATGGCTGCAGTCACTGGTGCTTTTCCGTCCTCTTCCCTACTATTTTTGTGTTATTATATGCAATAAGAGATTTACTTACCACAAAAGAACAGGAATCTTACTGGCCAATTTACCAGACTTACCAGAAGAACAAAGTCATTCAGAAATCTGGTTACAACTTCTAGAGTGTAGCAACAGAGTAAAAGTACTATGCTAGTAGTGGTGAGGATCCAAGAGAAAGAAAATCACCTAATTAAAGTCATTATGGAAATCATTGTCTCAGAGATAAAATTGTCTACTGGGGGCTAATCAGAATTAAACACCGGGTTTTTAATTTGTTTTGTTTTGTTGTTTTTTCCTAAACTAGATAAAATTTCTAATCTCTTGTTTGCTACAAATCCTTTGTAAGTTATTCATCAATGCGTTGCAGAAATCCAGCTGGACTTTACTGTATTACTGTAAATATAGACAAATGGATCATTAGGGTGACAACACAGCCATAAGCACAGGATAGTTCTGTTGAGGTTAAGTCTGTGAAGAACTGAAACCTAACATTTGAACTAAATTAAACACATACTATTGATCCAGGAGGGAATCCATGACATCATTAGTATTACCCTACATTATCATTATGTATGGGTTTAGAAATACTAATGGTATTGTTAATAAAGCAGCTGACAATCTTCTTTTTTTACTAGAAATTTTCCTCAGTGAGTTCACTTGCAATAATGAGTGTAATAGTCCCAGTTCATTGCTAGCTCTTACTCTCTTTCTCTTTTTTAATTACACCTAATTAAAAGTCTATTGACAGTCTCACTAAATCAGAAAACGATTATATTGGCCCAAGAAATGGCTTTAAAAGATTGATATTGAGTGTGCACATTTTCATAAAGCCTAAGCATATGTCTATATTAAAGATCCCTCCACAGAGTATTCATTGGGACCTAAGAACTGGTTTTCAGCAGCTAAGAACTTGTCTGCAAAAGAGAATCTGAATAAAAGAGGCAACTGAAATACCTCTTGCCAATGGAAACAGCTCATGCCCTACTTGGGGGGGTAGTTGTGCCAGTGCAAACTGCTCTAATCCCTCAGGCAATGCCCTCAGGAGCTTCTCCTTTGCCAGTGTCCCTCTCTATCACTGAGGTGGAAGATGTGACTATCAGGGAGGCACATTTGCATGGAAATTAGGGTAGCTCCTAGGACTGGCTCTCTTAGTCTGGGGGCCAAACAGCTTATGCCTACCACCAGTTACCTTCTTTGAAGTTACCTCAAGCTGGTTTTGGTTGTGCATAAATTCCCATGTCTTGCTATTTATATTCCTTTTAAACATCTCTGTACCCATGTTGTATATCAAACAGGATGCCTGGGTAAACTTATTCTATTTTCTTCTTTTCGAATGTTAATATGTTTCAAAAAAATGGTTAAATTCTTTAAAAGCAGGCATTTATATTAGAAAGAGCCCTCTTCAAAGCTCACAACATTACCGTCATGAGCAGATGAGATTATATACTACTTACTTTTTTCTAATCTTCTCTAGCGTGGTTTTTTTGCTGTGGTTTAAGCATTACTGATGTACAGCAAGATGTTTCAAGTAATCTTTCAAAAGACTTAGGAGTACTCAGAATTTGGTTTGTTCTGGATTCCAAATTGGCAACATCATAATATTTGATATTACAGTATTGTCAAGACTAAAACATTAGAGGAGGGAGGGTTGAGGAGCTTTATTTTTCCAGAGCCTTCAAAGTTTGAAAGAGGCAACCATCATCATTTTTCTTACATAGGATGCTTATGTATAATTCAATAATTCCTTGGGATTAAACATGTCTCCTGTAGGCCACAGCTGCCTTTACACAGCTGTAATGTCAGTTAGACTCTATTAACCTTTTTTCATCTCCATCTTTCAGCCACTGATGCCTGACCTTCATTACTACTACATAGTTGAATTGTCATTCTACTGGTCCTTAATGTTTTCTCAATTCATTGACGTCAAAAGAAAGGTAAGAACAATGAGATTAAAAACATTGAAAGCTTTAAGTATATATCATTCTTGCCTTGAGGATTACCTGTATTACCTAAGTAGTGAACTGGAAATACAGTTTCTAGTCTGTACTTCTTGCAGATATTAATCAGTGAGAAACTGGTGTCGAAGTGTTTGTCTTACTCTGTTCCTTGTTACTATGATGTGGGTTTTTCCTGCACATGAGAAGAAGAGCCTGGAACAATCAAATACTGAAGGGCAAATAGCAGCAGCTAGAAAAACCTTCTGCTCTCATACAGTGATTTGAATGGAATTGAACATGTAGTATCTAGTTGATGTACTGTTTCTTCTAAGAATGAAATTATTAAATATCAGTGACAAAGAAAGACTGCCTCATAAATTCATAGTATCACTTTGTTAAGATCTATGAGGGGTTTCAATTTTTTCTACCAAGGGATAGTAAAAACAGGATATATGTAATATTAAAAAATAATTTTACATTTAATTTTACCATTATGGTTATGAAATTTCAAGTAGCAGAATATTGCTATTAAAGGGCTGTTAATGAAAAAAAAATAAAACTCTGGCCAACTAAAAACATTTTTCAAGAATCATTAGTAACCTGTTCCATATTCCAAGTTCTTCCTTCCAAGGAGAATCCCAGTCCATAGCAGAACAGGTAGCACAGCAGTTATTCTATAATAACAGTCCATTGAGATGTTCTTGCAGGGGGTTTGATGTTTCGAAATTACTTTTTCAAATAATTTGGAAGGATTTTATAATATTTTTATGTTCTTCCTTCAGCTGTCATTTAATTAAATGACTGTGGGCTATGCTAATGGAACAATCCCTGTTTATTAGAATTTTAGCAGGAGCATAACTCTGAAAAGACTAAATGGAAGTTCCAGTATGTCTTTAATAAATTTATCTGCTATTTGGAACTGCAATGTGCTCCTGAGAGTCTTGTGCCAGATTTATGTATATAGAAACACAGCCCTCTATCTGGATTTCCAAATTACTGCAGAAGTAAAAATCTCAAGAAAGCATAAAAAAAATTTAAATCCATATGGGAGGGTAAATTGTAAATAAACCAACCAATTTATGATGAATACGTTTAAGTTCTTTGTTTACATAGTCTGTAGATGCTAAACATTCTCTTAAATCATGAGCTTGAAATAAGTGAAACTTCACTGGTTCAAAAACCAGAGATACAGAAAAACAGTGCACAACAGAGCTGTATGATAATGGAGATGAATTTAAGTCAAGAGTAACATTGATTATTATACCTAAGCTGCAGATGCCAAGTCTGTTTCTTAGTTATATATAAATGACTTGTTGTCTGGAAGACTTTACAGCAACCTGCTCTGGAAATAGAATGGAAGATGAAGGTGGGGAAGTGGATGGCTAACAGCTGAGTAACACCCCTGCCATAGATTTGCAGTGCTTGAACCTAGAGCACCAGATCCAAGCATGTCCCATGTGTCTGCTGTGTCTGAGAACATGCAGTGTCCAGCAGGGAGCAGGAGCACAGCCTCTGCAGTGCAATGACAGCAAGTCAAAGCCTTCCATTAGAAGCAACCTGTAGGAGACAGTGGGGGTGCCATATTTATAAATAAATAATGTATTAAATGACTGACCAGTTTGGTCTGAAGGGACAGTTCTTTTTGTCGTGTAAGTGAAGTTGATAACTAGGAAGATGGGACTGCAGAAATGCAACCGTGCTCTGATGTCACACAGTAAAATTGCTCTGTGCCCAGGGGCGAGTGTAAGCTGTCAGGGAAACCCACTGAGCTGAAAAATGTTAGCACTAAAGGCTTACAGTAGTTGACAAAAATAGGTAAAAACTTGAGGAAGGCACCACCCCTTGCAACACCATAATATTTCTATTTAAATAGAAGGTTTAGTTTAAAATAATGTGGAAACCTTGTAATGCACCCAACATGCAATGTTTGATATGGTGCCCATATGAAATAAGGATCTGTTTAACAGGAAGAAGCAGGAAATTTGCTAACTAATATCAGATGCTATTGTAATATTTCACAGTGGCTTAAACAGTGTAGATTAACAGTTCTCAGCTAGAGAAACCTGTTGATGCTTTCATGTTACAGTGAAAGGAGTACTTTTATCTAAGTCTTGGTTATCATTTTAGATACTTTAAATTCAGCAGAAGTCTGCATTGTATTCTGGGATGATCAGAAGTGCCCTGTGCACTGCAGGAATTCAGCCTTTCATGTGGCTGAGTTTCCCTGAAGGAGAGCTGCAGTGGGTCCTCACTGAAAGCACCTGCACTGGCCTAACTCCAGCACTGGTCTTTTACTTGCTGTAGCTCAAGAAAAATGTACTTGCTGTTTCCCATCTCCCTTTTATTCTTCTCTTATAGTAAATTGATGAATTCAAAATGACTTCCAGTTGGTTTTCTGACTTTCAAATACCTGTTTATTTAGGTGTTTTAAATTCCACCAGATTATCTTTCATTGGCTGGAGAGGTGTGAGCAAACTAGGCCATTGCACATACCTGCTATTGGTATTAAGGCAGCGAGCTGAGCAGCTTAACTTTTACAGTTTTATAATGTCATGTTGTTTCCTTCATAAATATCTGTTATGTTGCTATAATGATATTCTATCCTTAAAGGTGTTCATTTTCAAAGGCTGCAACCTAGTATGATCTCTGCCCAGCTTCCCATACTCCTGTTTTGTAAAAGACAGAAAAAAATATTAGGTCAGGAAACTTTGTTGGTCTCACAAGAGCCTGATGAGTTTTAAAAGCAGTGAGGCTTATTTGTGTGCTTTCTGGTTACCTGAAGTATTGTTTTACAGAAAAATATTTGACAGGTGTACTTAAAGGAATGTATAAAATTTCTATTGAGTGTTTTAACAGGTTTGGAGAAAATCTAGATCTTTCTGTGTATTCACATCTTTCCAAGCATTTGGCAATTCCTAGAGCTTCTCTTTTATTTAAAAAAAAAAAAAAAGAAAAAAAAAAAGACGGTTCACTCATTCCCAAAACAAATAATCTCTAACTGCTAATTTTCTTGAATATTCCATTTTGATTCTGGAAAATTCATGCTATATTTTGCTAAATTTGAATACTAGATCTCTTTCTTCAAACTCAGTAAAAAAAGAGTCGCAGAGCTGATTTCTTTTGGTTCAGTGGAAGGCATTTAGGTTGCGTACATTTTACAAACCTTTTCCTTTCCTTGTTGATCTATAATATAAGCCATGAAGATGATGTTTTGCCCTTCAGTGGCACTAATGCTCCATAGCCACTTGGCAGTTTAGTCAATGAGTATGACATGTTAAACAAATGTGGGTGGCAGAAGCCTTGATTCCAGAGGGCTTGTCTACGAGTTGAGAGCTGTGGGGTTTCTCTGCTGTCTGCCCTGTGTTCTTCCAACTGATGGTGTCAGGAATAGGTTCTTTCTCCTGTTCTTAGCCACATATTTTCATGACATAGGCACATGACATCTTTCAGCAGTTACAACTGGAGGCTACAAATCTGCTGTAAATAAATACAACTTTCACAAACCTACATAAGGTTTGAACTACATTAAAAAAAAAAAATAAATAGCCTATTCCTGTACAGCTGTACAGTACTGGAGTACTGGGATCACAAGTACCATCTATGTGTTCATATGCAGTTTTGGTCACCAAAGATATTAAGCTCTTAGAGGGCATCCAAAGGAGGACAACGAAGATGGTGAAGGGCCTTGAGGGGAAGCTGTACGAGGAGCAGCTGAGGCCACTTGGTCTGTTCAGGCTGGAGGAGACTCAGGGGAGACCTCATTGTAGTCTACAATTTCCTTGTGACGGGAAGAGGAGGGGCAGGCACTGATCTCTGCTCTGTGGTGACCAGTGACAGGACCTGAGGGAATGGCCTGAAGTTGTGTCAGGGGAGGTTTAGGTTGGATATTAGAAAAAGGCCCTTTCCCCAGAGGGTGGTTGGGCACTGGAACACGCTCCCCGGAGAAATGGTCACAGCACCAAGCCTGACAGAGTTCAGGAAGCATTTGGACAAAGACAACACTCTTGGGCACATGGTATGACTCTTGGGGGTGGTCCTCTGCAGGGCCAGGGTTGGGCTCGATGATCCTTGTGGGTCCATCCCTTCCAGCTGAGCATCTTCTGTGATTACCCTTATGTATAACTAAAATCTAACAGGTAACATCTTCAAAGCATTTTATAAATTAATTACTTTAATTAATTAATTAAAGAAATGTCACAAACAGGAAAGAAAGTAGTATAATAACAAAAGTAGCTTTATTTATATAATTGCTACTTTTTTCTAACAGTTTTCAGTAGGTCAATCTGGCAAGTCTGTTTCAGAGCTGGCAGAGTCAGGTAATTGTCTCTTTTAAGAAACATTATTACAGAAGGAGTTCCCTGGACAGCATTTCTGTAAGAATACTCATGCAGAAGTGCAGAAGACTGCTGCCCAAGAGCATTAAGTTTGCTTAGGAATAATCTATATTGTCAGGAATGCCTTGAAAAATATCCAAGAGGGACTAGAAATCTTGTATTTGTAGAACATGGATGTGTCAGCTATGAAAACAGAGGAGATTTTCTATTTGACTTCTTGCCCTGTTTGGACTACCTATGAGCTAACATAATTGCACTTAGAAGGAAAATTAAGAGCAGTGCCATAGTATTTGTAGCTGAAGAAGGTAAACAGCTAGTTTGCAGTATGGCCATAGGGCAATGCTAGTAGCTTACTTCTGATCCCATGGAATAAGGTGGATGCCTTGCCATTTTTATTATTGTATGGTGAAATGGTCTCCATGTGTGGGTTTATAGTTACTGAAGGACTAAGATGCCATACCCTTGCTTTCCCTTAGGACACTCAGAAAGGGAAACAGCCTTTAATTCACTTTTTCTTCAGTCTGCTTGAAGAAAATAGTTTCAAAGCAATACCTTGGTATGACTGCTGAATGTATTTAATTGTGCTCCATAGTACTGAGGGCCAAATAACTCAGCTGAGAAATGCTGGGAGTATACTAAACTAGGATACAGTTCCCTCTTTTAATCTTCTTTTTACTTCTTTTCTCCCTTTCCGCTGCCTTCCCTGCTCTCCTGACCTCCCTCAGCTTTGTCTTGGAGGTACTGGGAGTGCCCATTGATGAATATGAAATAGGATCTTGTAGCCCCTGATAGCATTAAACATAGAGTGATAGAGGCTGGGAGCAGGTCCTACCCCTCTTCAATTACTGACTGCTCAAGCTGCACGTTTGTTCGTGGACTCCAGGTTAACATTGCAGTGAAGGCAAGTGCTGGTACTGAGAGGCAGTGGCACTTTATGTCTTTAAAAACAGTGGTGTCTGCTACATGCCTGCTGCATGCCCAGAGAGAGGCGTGGGGACACGGTGCAGTTACTCTTCCTGGCATTGAAGAGACAGAGCAGGCGGGAGCTGTAGCTGCTGCTTTTCCAGAACTGAGTCTGTGTTAGTGGGAGCTCACAACATTTTCTGTTGGGTCCTGTCCAACATATGTACCTTCAGGCCCTTTGCAAACCAGGTGTTGCCTCTCTAAAGAGTCTCAGTTTCTGGGCTGTAGGCCATGTAGCTGAAGACTACCACAGCTCACCAGGACTGGCCCGCGAAAGCTATCAGAAAGACAAATTCCACCTCCCAAGAATCTGGGCAGGAAGGCTGCCTGGAGGAGCTGCTCCTTTTGACTGCCTGGATCTCTCTCCCTTCAGACAGCTCTGTATGAGAGCCACTAGATCTGCTGGGAGTTGTGGCACTAACATTGCACCTGGTGCATGGAGAAACTCCCCAGTTAAATGTTGTCTGTGATCTTTACTTAAGGGTTTTGATAGCACTTTCTCAAAGCCATGCAGGTAGTTCAGCAAATGCCAGCAAGACTTCTTTTTGACTGACTTGGTGCCTTGCAGAGAAGAGTCGCATCTCTGCAGGTCCTGTTCTCTCATTAATCAGTCTGGAAGTCTAGTCCAGGTAGGTAGGTCATTGCCTCTGCTTTGTCTGCCCCTTGGCATGTATCTGGGAATGTGATGCTACAGGAGCTTCACTGCTCCCAGATTTTTCAGTAGTAATAGTTACTTTCTGGCCAAATAACTGAGTTACTGATCTGGAGACTAGTTAGCCTGCATCATTTGGGAGGCAGCAGATTGGAACTGAGTAGGAGGAGCTGCACCAGCTCATTTGAAGACTTTTCTAACCCTGTTACAATGTGAAGACAAAGCACCTTGATTAAAAACAAATAAAAATCTGAGTCTGGCGTTCTTGGCTCAGCGAAAGCTCTCAGTTGTGCTTGGTGGGTGCCTGTTGTCCTAGTGCAGTGGAAATGTATTTCTTGTTTCTTTGTAGCTATTTTATCTCTTGGGAATGGTGCATTATTTTGCACTTGGTTATGCATATTTTTATATGCATATGTTACTTAATGCATGAAAAATATGGTGTAATTTGGTTTGTATGTACATATGTCTTTTCAAAGTAAATTCAGTCACAAATGTTTATTAGGTTAAATTACTATAAACTGAGAGGTGTCAATATTGCCCGGTTTTCAACAATATTTTGCATTTTGTTAACAAAATGATTATTTTATTCAGTCTAAATGAAATACATAGCAGGGTATATAATGCACTTATGTAGTAGGATCTTTATATATCTTAACCATAATACTGGGTTTAAGAAACATCCATCCATTTTTGTATAAGAGTACTGAATATCACTATTTGCTTCATTGTTTTTTGTTTTTTGTTTCTTTTCTTTGCTTCTGCTGCTCTAGGATTTTGGCATCATGTTTACACATCACATTGTAGCAGTCACCCTGCTTACCTTCTCATATGTAACCAATTTGACACGAGTGGGAACCTTGATCTTGTGTCTCCATGATGCGGCTGATATTGTTCTAGAGGTGAGCTAACACGTATGTCATCCTGTCAGTAGGTAGAATCTTTTTGCTGTGCAAAACAAGTATTTCCTAAGCCAAGTCCAGTTCAAGATGGTAATGGTGATTAATATTGTGTATTTGATTAAATACATTACACTTATAGCAATGCGTGTTTCTGACTTCAGGCTGATTTATCCCCTGGTAAGTTGCTTGCACAGAGAAGAGACTGGTAATGCATTGCATGCCGGAGAGGGTTACACACAGATTTTAATTACAGCATGATAAAATCAAAAGCTCAAAGCTGCAAAATCTGGGAAGTGGTAACAGTGGGATAGAAGCTCCTAGTTCTTGACCCCTCTGACGTGGGGTGAGGAGCAATAACCCTGTCTGCAAAAGAATCAAGGTGCCACTGTGTTTCTACTGTGCTTTGCTGGACAGAGTGCGTTGGACAATTTAATGCCTGTTTGGGCATGGGCAGTAAGCTGACCTCCGATTTTCCAGGTTCTCGTGCCTCTGGATCCCAATGCCAGCATTAAGCATTTGGATTCAGACGAAAAGGGATGATTGACATTCTTTTAAGTCAAAATGGTCTGCAACTTCCACAGCAATAATTTAGAGATGTTGTCGTCCTTTATCTGCATCAGTTATTAAACAGCTCTTGGTGATGCTGGGATTGGGCTGTCTATGAACTCTACATTAGGATCAAACCAGAGTAAATAACTATTTTGTCTGAAATTATTTTTTATTAAAGTACCTGCAAAGATTCTGTTATGTGAGAATATAGTGTCACTGGGTGAGTCCCCTGTTGCAAAATCAAAATCCTGCCATTCTGATTCAATAGTAAATCCCAGCTGTAAATCTGGTTTTATTTTTTAATCTTCTTTTAATCTAGAAGGCACATGACTGCCTGAGATAGAAAGCAAAAGAGAATGTGGATTTCTCCTCATAGAAATAATTACATCTTTACAAGTTTATTTTCTCTTTTAGCAATGTGTGTAGCTAGCTGTGGCTTCAGCTAAACTTTCTTCATTCTCCTTTTCTCACCACCAGCAGGATGTACTTGAAGATGTTCATTCCAGATCAGATCAGTGTCTGTGGAATTATAAAAACAGTGGAGAGCAGCCGTAATGGGCTAACTGAAACCTTACTTTGAATACACGGAGATACATATTTTTGCTCAGTTCTTCTGTTTATTCACTGACAAAGAGGAATTGCTGGTATCCTCATGTGATTTGCAAACATTCAGCAAATACCCTTCCTCATGAGGCACATACTTCAGTGGTCTTTCTGGTCAATTCTTTCAGTCTGTTAGGACTGGAAGTTCTGCTAGGGCAGTGGGGCATAGTCCTGGTGCCATATGGGAGGAGAAGGACTCTTACACACTGCTGATGGTACTGAGAGGAAAGTCAGTGCAGAAGGAAAAAATGATCAAACTGCAAAAGAAGTTGGTTAAATATCCTGCCATGATAGGTCAGTTGTATACCTGACCTGTTCTACCTATTACATATTTGTAAAAATGAAAAGCTATTTCTGGAAGCCACTAGACTCTTTCCACCTACCATTTCATAATGAAACATGTCCGGTGGAAAGCTGGAATGCAACATTTTTGCTGTTCTCATTGCAGAAGGTAATGTGAATTGATGGGAATACTGGAGGTGAGGTTTTTTCCTACAGGTGTTAAGGTGTTTGTAAGTATGGAAGAATCATTGTAGGATTTCAGGAATTATAGCTGCTTTCTTAGGTCTGAGTGAAAGTTATCTTGGATATTCAAAGCAGTCTAGCCATGGCAGGACATATCAAACGTAATTTGCTTGCCTAGGAAGCCATTACATTAACATAAACTGAAATCTAGGCCTCTGAGAAGCTACTTTCAGAAGTCGAATCCCAGCTGCTCGTTTATGTGGTCTTAGGTATATTTACACTGCTGTACAGCTTGTGGGTTGAAAACTCTGTGACCTAGCACGTTGAAGCACTTAGAATCCCACCTATTTGGGGACCTTGAGACTTTCCAACTTCAATTAAAGAACACTGTGACAGTTTTAATGCTAGTCTGTGCATGTGAGTGGTTGCCCATGTGTGAAGTCACAGTTCAACCTGAATTCCTTTCTGTCAGGTTCCATCTATCTCCTAAAATACTTTTATGAAAGAGCAGGGAATGGATACTTCAGACTAAGGCAATAGCTGTGCTGTAAAACACAGGTATTTAAACAGACAGACTAGCAAGAGTATATGGAAGAGCTGTGTTACTCAATTGCAGTTACGGTTTTTAAGCTCTGAAAATTGTGTTGTATTGCCTTAGGTGGCCAAAATATGTCCAACAACAAAATATTCTTTCCCTTTTTTCTTTTTTTTTGTAGTCTTTTTTAATCTATAATTTATAGATTTGTTACTTGAGAACTGATGACCCAACAGCTGTACTGTTTTTGAGAACTACAAGTTGCTATAGCAATATCAGCTCCATGCTCTATGAAAACAGCTTTTTACAGTGCTGCCATGGAAATACATGCAGAATTCCTACGTGAACTTTGAATCATCTGAAAAAATCAAGGAAGTTAGTAACGCTTCTGCTTTACATGTTGCCACCAAAATGTTCTCTTTTCCTTAAACCAGGCTGTGAGTAAAAAATTGATAGGAAACTAGCACCAGGGCTGATTCAGAAGGGTTATGTTTTCTTTGGAGCAATGGTGGCTTTCCTCATGTTTTTTGAGCTTCCTAACTTGGTTTCTGTTAGTGAGGAATATTCTTTATATTCAGGTTTTTAGTGGAAACATTGCAGAAATTGGGTAACATCCAAAAGTGCAGTTTGGTTTTGGCATCCAGATTGTTTGATTCTCTAGTTGGAATTCTGCATTCAGAATAGTATTTTCTATGCATAGTTGTGGTAATTTTGCTCCCTCTTAGTCCTCTGGAAAGTCTGCACAAGTATCTTGTCAATATGGGAGCTGAATACAGGTCTCCTCAGAGAGGGCTTTGAAGGGGTTCCCAGTGACTTCAGTGGACACAAAATCAGACTCTTCATGTACTTCATTGTGAGGTGACTCTCTGGATACATTTGACAGAAGGTCTGAAGAAAGACTGTCCCTGCCTTGAAACAGATGTTATTTAAAAATAATTAATTGCTTACACACATGAACAATTAATTGCTTCCACACATCTCTGTGGAAGCATCAGAGATGTCTTAAAACAAGCTTGCTTGTATGTACCATTTTCTTCAGGGAGAAGAGGCTAAAAAAACTTCAGGGAGGACCAGTGTTTTTAATGAGGAGTAATTAGTCCTTCACTGAGGAAGAGTCAGAAGACTGCATGAAAACAAATGAGAGAAGCATGTAAAAATAGGCATAAGGCTACAAGTTGGAAAGGAAGGGTTGGAAAGAGGGGGGAGGAGAAAAGTCTTTGAAAAAGACTTGAAGAGTAGTGGTATAATCTTTGAGGTGGAAACTGTTCTGTATAGGCCAGAAAGGAAGAAGAGATGCTTTAGGAGAAAGTAGGGTATGGGGCATAGTAGAGGCATTGAGACCTCTGGAAGGCCAGAGAGCAGGGAGTAGAGGGAAGGTAGATGGACATTGAAAATGCAAGTAGAGCAGACTGGTAAGGTGAGAGACAGGTAGGTAAAGAGACTGGGGACAAGGACAGCATAAACACAGTGGGGTTCAATAAAAGGTTTAGAAGAGCTTTGTGAATCTGAAACTGTAGGATCTCAAAAAGGAAATTGAATGAGGGATAAAGAAATTAGATACTTACTCTAGATTTATTCAATGTGGTTTGTTTTTTCTTCAAAGACATTTTCCAGCTGCTTAGTAGAGAGGAGTTGCAAGATTACTACGAGGTGGCACAATTGAAAATGTGATTTCATAAAACTTTGATTTCTTCTCTTACAGCTTATGCACAAGAAAACTCCGTTTTCCTCATAGAAGTAAAAAGACATTTCTTTCTTTTGCAGGCTGCCAAAATGGCAAATTACTGCAAGTGTCAAAAGCTGAGTGACCTTCTGTTCCTTACATTTGCCATTGTCTTCATTGTCAGTAGGCTTGGCATATATCCCTTATGGTGAGTAAGCACATCATTGTCCTCAAATGCTAAGCACCAAACAAGCTTGGAAATAACTACACTGTAATTGAACATGATTCATTGGCATTACCCTGTTTTCCAGAGCACCAAGGAGAGTTGCAGACATAACCAGGTGCTCAGTAGCCTATTTGCTAGAATGCCATTGTGTTTACTGTGTGCTGGACAAGAAACATATGGGGCTTCTGCTGATGTTAAGGTAGAAGTGCATAGGAGACAACATAGCTTCAGGTTAGAAGTTAGTCAGCTGTGTTGTCAAAAAGTTAGAGGAAAATTAAAATATTAGTCACCAAAAACACTGACGAAAGGCTAAGATTGAAACTGGGATATCCTCAATAGCTTTCAGTGCACACTTTATGAATGTGTTCAGCTTAAAGAAAATTACAGTGAACTAAGTAAAGTCTGGCCTGCTGAAATTGGTGTAAGGATGTAATTGTCATGCAGATTGCAATACTGCAGGCTACTCCTTTTCCACCCCTCATTTGAACTGGGGTTCCTGGGGCAGCTGTGTAATGCATACACCTGTAAGGTTGTTCTATACTTGATAACCTTCTATGATGAAATTACTGGCTTGTAATTACATAATCCAGTAGTTACTGGATGATGGGGCAGAGTGCACCCTCAGCAAGTTTACTCATGTTGCTCCTGCAGGGAGCAGCTAATGCACCAGAGGGTTGTGCTGCCATCCAGAGGGAAGGAACCTCAGCAAGCTGGAGAAACAGCCAACAGGAACCTCAGAAGTTCAGCGAAGAGAAGTTCAAAGTCCTGCCCCAGTATTTTCTGGAGGCTGACCAGCAGGAAAGCACCAAAGGAACGGGCAGTTCCAGTGCAGCCAGCCAAGTGCCCTTGTAGTAACGAAGGCTGTTGGTATCCTGGGCTGCATCAGGAGGGGTGTTCCCAGCAGGCTGAGGAAGGTGATCCTTCTCCTCTACTCAGGCATGGTGAGGCCACATGTGGAACATCATGTCCAGTTCTGGGCTCTCCAGAACCAGAGAGATATAAAGCTATGGAAGACAGTCCAGCAAATGGTCCCAAAAATGGTTAAGGGACTGGAGCACCTCCCACATGATGAGAGGCTGAGACAGGTGGGACTGCTTAGCATAGAAGAGAAAGCTCAGAACAGGTGTTATCAATATATAGAAATATATGAAGGGAGAGTGGAAAGAAGACTGTGCCAGGCTCTTTTCAGTGGTGCCCAGGGCTAGGACCAGAGGCAGTGAGCATGAACTGAAACACAGGAGGTTCCACCTGAACATCAGGAAACACTTTTTCACTCTGAGGGTGGCTAAGGACTGGCACAGGTTGACCAGAGAGATGATGGACTCTCCATTCTTGGAAATACTCCAAAACCATGGTCCTGGGAAGCCTACTACAGGTGACCCAAGTTGAGTAGGAGGGTTGGACAGGATGATGTCTAGATGTCCCTTCCAAACTCAGCAATTCTGTGAGCTGTCTTATGTGTTTAGCTGTGATTCCAGCATTTAAACCTCACTCTATTATTTGAAATGGCAAAGAAAGAACTACTGATTTGAAATTTTTTGTTATTCAAACAAGAGTTTACCAAATCACTGCTATGTGCTTGCTTTGCTGAATAATCAACAAAGAGCAGATTAATCTTTTTAAGAATGCATGATTTTGAAAGAGGTCATTAGAGTTTTCACACATTTAACTAGAAGGAGCTACCCAGTATTCCTTTCTTTTGAGACTTCTGAAAATCAGCAAGGTCTAAATTTTCTATCCTTTACATTCTTACTATGGTAGTCAAATTTTGCGAAGTCCACACTTTCAACCTGAAGTGTTTGGAATAACACTGTTTAGAACTGAAACTACAGCTCAGAAACAGGAGGTTTATGCTGTCTGGAGTGATTTCTGTGAAGTATTGCAGCCAAGTGTCACACTGTGCAGGAAACCATTGCTAGGACTATGCAAATTATAAATTAAACATTGACATGTCTAGTGGGAATCAGGCGATCATAGAACTAAAGTCTGTCTCTAAGCGTCTCACTTCAAGCTGTCTGACTGGCAGAGTCCCAGAAGAGATTACCAGCACAGCAATAAGTTATCTAGAAAGTGTCAAAACTTGAGCCCTGCTTTACTGCTATGGCATTTTGTGCTGGTGTTCAGGATGTGCCCATCCATTCCTGTATATGTTAGTGACAGCAGCACTTCCATGCCACCTTAAATTGAACCTTGTCTGAATCCTCCTCTGTAGAAGTTGGCCCAGCGTGCTGAAAGCAGGTAAAATGAAGCAAGTAGATCTGGGGAAGAGGGAAAGGGAAGAGGGCTTCTGTTGTTGATGTTGGCTCACTTGATACTGAATGTTGGGCTAAGGAGGGCAGTGAGTTACAGCTGTGGGTGAGGTTTGCCAGTGGGATGGAAAAGATCAGCATATATTCTTGAAGGCAGTGAAGGCAGAGGGATTGTTTATTTAAGAGGAATGCAGCAGCTGACAGTGCCACAGTGTCACAGTGTCAGAGGGGAAGTAGGTGCATTGGTGATCCTCTGCCTTTCCTCTCCCTCATCCTGGTTTAACCCTAGCTGCTACAAAGCCCGGTGCATTCACTCTCTTACTTCCCCAGTGGGGTGAGGAAGAGAATCAGGAGGGTAAAAGTGAGAGAACTCATGGGCTGAGATAAAAACAGTTCAACAGGTAAAGCAAAAGTGGTGCACAGGAGCAAAGCCAAACAAGGCACTCATCCATCACCTCCCATGGGCAGGCAGGTGTTCGGCCATCCCCAGGATAGCAGGGCTCCATGTGTAATGGTGACTTTGGAACACAAACACCATCACTCCAAACATGCCCCCCCTTCCTCTCCCAGCTTTATATGCTGAGCATGACACCATATGGTGTGGGATATCCCTGTGATCAGTTGGGTGCAGCTGTCCCAGCTGTGTCCCCTCCCAAGTCCTTGTGCACCCCCAGCCTCCTCATTGGTGGGGCAGTGTGAGGAGCAGAAGAGGTCTTGACTCTGTGTAAGCCCTGCTCAGCAGTAACAGAAACATCCTGGAATTATCAACCCTGTTTTCAGCACAAATCGAGAACATAGCACTGTACTCTAGCTACTGTGAAGACAACTAAGTCTATCCCAGCCCAATCTAGCATTTCCCTTAGTCAATGAAAAATACATTTATTTATTTGAAAATACATATTGTTTGGTGTGGTTGATCTTTGATTTTTAAGACTACTTTATTTCCAAACTTGATGTATGTATTCCTAATGGTTACCCCTACATACACCCAGAGGCAGTTTCATAGTTCTCAGCTGTACTGTAGGCAATGCATGTGGGAGTCAGAGTGAGCAGGGATGAAGCATGGGATGTATGAGCTTGTCTCTCCCAAATCCTTTTTCTCTATGAAACAGCAGTTCTAAATCTTCACCCTCATTAGCTTGCATGCCAGCAAAGATGAGTCACTGGAGTGGCCAGGAGCAGGCCAGGAAGCGTAGTTTTGCTCTCCTTTGCTGAAAATTCAAAACAGCAAAATTTGGTGCCTGATTAATATTACATAAGTATGCAAATTTTTCTAGCATGAAAGCTGAGAGGTATAAAATCAGTGTTCATGTAATGTAAAAGGAAAACTGTAATTTATAAGAAAACTTCCCCCACGCAGGAAGGTGAACACCTAAGACAGGCTTCAAGAGACGTCACTTCCGAAGCACTGGCATGCTGTTTTGCTCCAGCTTTGCACAAGTGCCATTTAATTTTGCATAAAGGTGCTAATAAAGAATTCAGAATGTATCAAATGCTGTTGTTTGAAGGTTATTTAACAGCAGGGCTAAGACAAAAGAAACTGGCAATTAGGTATATATTTAGCAGTCTTTCTGCAGGCATCTGGAGTTCATTTCAGCAATAATTCAAAAACCCCAGGATACTTTCTCCCTCCTGCTGCTAAGTGAATGTAGGAGTAAAGCTGCTATTTTCACTGACAAGACATTTTGCTTGTGAAATTCTCCCACTTGCACATAATCACTGTTCTAGCAAATTACAGCAAACCAAAACTCGCCGTGAGTCGGGGGAACATGATGCCTTCTCAGGTGATACAGGAATGTAGGGAGAATGAGAGCAATCTCAAACAAAAAAAAAAATTATGTAAATTATGTGAACCCTTGGCTAGTCTAATCAGGCTGGGCAAAGCAGTTATCTCAAGCCTATTTTTATTTCAATAATCATTGCAATTCTTCTTCCCAGACCTCCAGTGCTTGGTTTTGCTGTAGCTAGATAGAGTCTTTTCTCTGTTGGCAAAAGAATGGATTGCTTTTTGCTTTATTTTGTTTAGCTTTCTATGTCCAGGAAGGGAAACTCCATGGGGTCATGATACTTATTAATAATTTTTGAGGTGTGAAGAAGACTAACAGGCGTCTTCCATCCCAGGGGGTGTGAGTGAAGAAGGTGATGCACTGCATTTTCCAGTCTTCCTTTGCTCAGTGCTAAATGCAGAGTTCTTGTTGTGAGAACCATGAAATTCCTCAATTTTGGGCTGTACAGGAGACTCAAGGCTACTCATTTATTTTCCTTATTCTTCTAGAATACATGATTTTTTGACAGGGCAGTTTGAATAAATCTCCCAATGCTGTGAAGGTTTTGGTACCTGACACTGGTTTCATGGAGTGATTGTGAAACAGGGTATTTCCATAAGCTTCAGTGGAAGAAAGGTGGTAGTTGTGGAGGGAGATATAAGGTTACTAAACTGTTTGTTGTTTTAAAAGATAGCTTAGAGTAGCTGCAGGTAAAAGTGTAACTTTGGGGTTTGAAAGGAGAATGAGAAGGCTGTCAGGAAGATTGGGCTGATGTTTACCAGATGAAAGCACCAAGCTGGGTAAATTCAGGTTCTTTCAAGTTGCTCTGACTAGTACCAATATGCAGTTTTCCTGAGTTTTTCACCTCTTTTGATTATTTTTAAAATGAGTTGTATTGTATGAGAGGTAGAACACAGTGGGTTTTAGGGAAGTGTTGCTGACAAGTACTGCTGTCAAAGGGCAAGGG